TGTCCTATTGGGATAGTGGAAGGGGATGAAGAATTGGATGTATGGTGGCTGTGGGATGGTGAGGGTGAAGTAGGAACAGATCTAGGTGAGCTGTGATGATGGCTATGAGCCAGGGAAAAATGGAGGTTGGGGGTAGATGGAGTATGAGAGGGTGCTTGATTATCTGAAGGTAGGATATTGTATTGATGAACAGGTATAAAGGGTGGAGAGGTTGTAGAGGGGTGATCATCTGAGTCTGAGGTAGGTGTTTGGATGTTTGGTGTATGAAGAGGAAAAGTGTTCTCATCAAAAAGGACATGTCTGGTGGTGATAATCTTTTGGGAGGGAAGAAGGACTTTAAAACCTTTGTGGTTGGGACTTAAGCCAAGGTAAATGGAAGGAAGACTCTTTGTTTGGAGTTTGTGAGAGTTGTATGGTTGTAGTAAGGGATAGCAGAGACAACCAAAAGATTTGAAAGAGTGGTAGTCTGGTTTGGTGTTAGTTAGAGCTTCAAGAGGATATTTAAGGTGAATAAGCTTGTTGGGTATTCTGTTAATCAAGTAAACACCATAAGCAAAAGCTTCATCCCAATATTTAAAAGCAAGGTTGGACTGATATAAAAGGGATAGGCCAACTTGCACAATGTGCCTATGCTTTCTCTCAGCAAGGCCATTCTGTTCAGGGGTATAAGGACAAGAAATCTTACATTTGATGCCAAGGTCTGAAAGTATAGGGTGCAAGGCTTGAAACTCTCCTCCTCCATCACATTGAAAAGATTTGATGCATGTGTGATATTGGTTTTTAATGAGAGCAAGAAAGTGAATGAAGGCTTGTTTGGTATCTGATTTGTTTTTAAGGAGATAAATCCAAACAAAAGGAGTGCACTCATCAATAAAACTAACATAGTATTTGAAACCTTTGTGAGAAGTGATGGGTGCAGGTCCCCAAAGATCAGAATGGATCACATCAAAAGGTTTGTGATTGTGTGCAGTGGAAGACAAGAATGGGAGTTTATGAAATTTAGATTGCATACAAACATTACAAAATAGAGGTCTTTTATTGTCTAGAAAAAGGGACATTACATTGCTGCAAAGCAGCTTTTACAATCTTGAAAGATGGATGCCCTAATCTATTGTGCCATAATTCTAAACTCTGAGAGGATTCCAGAACTGCTGCATTGCAACTTGATTGAAGGTAAGGAAAACAGCTTGAAGGAGGGGAACTACTAGGCTTAGCTTGGTTATCTTGGGAGTTTGTGAGCTGGAAACAATACAATCCATCTTTAAGAGTTCCTTGGAGTAAAACAGCTCCTGTCTTGAGATCCTTCACCAAGCATAAAGAAGGATGAAACTCAAAAAACACCATGTTGTCTTTAGAAAATTGAGATACACTGAGTAAATTTTTGGTGATTTGAGGTACAAGCATGAGGTTGTTAAGGAGAAATATATTGGAATTAGAGGATTCAAGACTTTTCATCATAGCTTTACCAGTGTGAGTAATGACCATACCTGATCCACTTGCAGTTTGGATCCTTTCATGCCCTTGGTAGTCTGTGGCTATGTTTAAGTTGCTCATTTCATTGGTCAAGTGATGTGTTGCCCCAGAGTCAGGGAACCAAAGTATATCTTGACTTCCATCATTGGACTGAGCACCTAAGCTGGCCACATTAGCAGAAAGATGGCCACTGTTGTTGTGCTCTTGGTAGTTTTGAGAGCCACCTCCATTGTTCTGAGGCCTTGAGGTGAAGTTCATGTCAAACCGGTAATAGCATTTGTCTGCAGTATGGTTGTTGTAGTTACAAATTTGGCATCTTGGTTTGTTTTGGGCATTGAAACCTCTACCTCCTCTACCTCTTCCTCTTCCATTTCCTCTTCCTGTGTTGGGTTGGAAGTTTCCATCAGATCTGTCTCTAGAGGTTGTAAAACCTCTTCCTCCTCTATTTGGAATATGAGTGGCCAGGTTGGCAGCTAGAAAATATCCATCTCCTTCATTTGAGTTGGCTGTGCTTTCTAGCCTACTTTCAAAACTTAAGAGAAATGAGTAGGCTTCCATTAGAAAGCAAGGCTGAGATCTGGATGTGAGGTTAACCACAACTGGGTTGTACTCAGAGCCAAGACCAGCAAGAAGGTGCAGCAGTTGGTCATTTTCAGCTAACCTTTGGCCTGCTGCAGCAAGAAGATCACATATGCCCTTAACCTTGTTGAAATATTCTCTCATTTTGGTGCTGCCTTTCTTGAGAGTCTGCAACTCAAGTTTGAGCTGCATTTGTTTGGCAAGGTTGTGGCTTGCAAAGCTTGTTTTCAGAGTATCCCAGATCTCTCTCGAGCTGTTTAGACCAACAGTGGATATCAGCACATTTTCAGACAAAGAAGATAAGAGCCATGATGCAATAAGTTGGTCATGCTTCACCCAGTTCAAGAAGGCTTTGTTGATTGATGGCTCATTTGTATCTGGATCTGTAATGATCTTGTCTGGTATGGCAGTTTCTCCTGTGAGATATCCAAGCAGTCCATATCCTCTGATGGAAGTGAGGATTTGCTGTTCCCAAAGCAAGTAATTGCTATCATTGAGCTTGATAGTGATAAGACTGCTTTGAAGTTGTATTGTTGAATCTATTTGTGGTGTGATGAGAGCCATAGATCTGAAAAACAAAGGAGAGCAACGATGGAAGGAGATGGATCAGAGACTGGTTTTCAACCAGCTCTGATACCATAAAAGGAAAACACTATGTCCACCATTAATGCAAGAAAAGCAATCAAAGCTCAATGTTCAAACTTTCACTAAAATGGTAGGGTTTCTTTTTGCATTACATTTTAAATGTGCATCAAATAAATACCTGCAGCTGCTACAGCTTTTATCTCTCTCACATGCACCTCGTGATTAGGGTTTTGCATAATCTCTCATTTACCCCTCAGCTCCTAAATGGTCAGCTTCTGCCACATAAGCCATTTCATTTTTTTTCCACGTGTGCATGGTCTCCAATAGGGGCCAAGCCAGGTATCACGTCCGGTGGGACCGATTTGTCTGATCGACTTTTGAGGATGACTTGTTTTCTAAGCTGTTTTAT